GGTTTGGGCTGGAAAGGACCTTAAGATCATCTAGTTCCAACCCCCTGCCATGGGCAGGGACACTTCACAATAGACGATGTCACTCAAGGCTCTGTCCAACCTGGCCTTGAACACAGCCAGGGGTGGGGCATTCCCCACTTCTTTGGGCAGCCTGTTCCACTGAAGCCTGTTATAGTATTTTCCTTGCTCCTAGAAGGTACTGTGAGCATTCAAAACAAGAACAGGCAACAGCATGTTGAAGGGAAGGTACACATAAAAATACAGATGTGGGTATATATATACACACACATCTATTTCAGACAACAGTATACTTTACATATATTTTATGTGTATTTATATAAAACATAAGCCCCATTCCCATCCAATTTATAAGTTTGCAAGCTGTAATGTATCATTCTGATCCCATCCTAGGAAACAGATGGGTACTCCGGCTCCGACATAAAACTTGTGTGCAAGGAAGCAGCCATGAGACCTGTGAGGAAAATCTTCGATGCTCTAGAAAATCATAAGCCAGGTACCACAGCTCTGAGTAGAGAATGCACTGCGGGAGACGCTGCTGTACCTCTGTAACTTCAGAAACGCTACCGTTAACCCCAGCAGATGGAGCTCTGTTATCTGCTTGAAGACGGTTTAAACCCTAGATTTCTAAACACCTGCCTAAGATGACCTTGCTGAAAATCAGGCCTCTGTTTAAAGCTGTCAGTGTCTGTGCTCACTGCACAAACACAGTTTTTTAGTTCAGCTCACTAGGTTTATTCTGTTGTTTTCATATAGGAAGTGCTGTGTTAGACAGTGGGGCGGGTTGATCTGGCTGGAGGCCATGTGCCCACCAAAGCTGCTCTATCATTGCCCTCCTCCTCTGGACACAGGAGAGAAAGTATCTCAAAGGCTCATAGGGCTGAGATAAGGACAGGGAGAGATCACTCACCATTTACTGCCACAGGCAAACCAGAGTTGACATGGGGATATGAGCTTGATTTATTACCAGTCAGAGCAGAGTAATGAGAAATAAAACCAAATCTTAAGAACACTTTTCCCCCACCTCTCCCTTCATCCCCAGCTCATCTTTACTCCCAGTTTCTCCACCTCCTCCCCTCACAGCAGCACAAGGGGATGGGGAATGAGGGTTGTGGTCAGTTCATTACACGTTCTCTCTGCTGCTCCCTCCTCCTCAAGGGAGGACTCCTCACACTCTTCCCCTGCTCCAGTGTGGGGTCCCTCCCGCAGGGGACAGTCCTCCATGAACTTCTCCAACAGGAGCCCTTGCCCCAGGCTGCAGTTCTTCATGAACTGCTTTGTGTGGGTCCCTTCCACAGGTGCAGTACCTTGGGAACAGACTGCTCCAGTGTGGGCTTCTCTCTCCATGGGGCCACAGGTCTTGCCAGGAGCCTGCTCCAGCTTCCCATGGGATCACAGCCTCCTTTGGTAACACCCTGCTCCAGCATGGGGTCTTCCCCAGGCTGCAGGGGGATATCTGCTCCACCATGGATCTCCATGGGCTGCAGGGGGATATCTGCTCCACTACGGACCTCCATGGGCTGCAGAGGCACACAGGTCTGCACCATGGGCTGCAGGAGAACCTCTGCCTTAGCACCTGGAGCACTTCCTACTTCCTTCCCTGACCATGGTGTCTGCAGGGCTGTTCCTCTCACATCTTCTCACTCCCATCTCCAGCTGCAGTTACACAGGGGTTTTTTTTCTCCTCTTTTTATACATGATCCCAGAGGTGCTACCGCTGTCGCTGATCCACCTCTGTAGTCCAGCTGCTGGGACAGTCCTCCATGAACTTCTCCAACAGGAGCCCTTGCCCCAGGCTGCAGTTCTTCATGAACTGCTTTGTGTGGGTCCCTTCCACAGGTGCAGTACCTTGGGAACAGACTGCTCCAGTGTGGGCTTCTCTCTCCGTGGGGCCACAGGTCTTGCCAGGAGCCTGCTCCAGCTTCCCATGGGATCACAGCCTCCTTTGGTAACACCCTGCTCCAGCATGGGGTCTTCCCCAGGCTGCAGGGGGATATCTGCTCCACCATGGATCTCCATGGGCTGCAGGGGGATATCTGCTCCACTACGGACCTCCATGGGCTGCAGAGGCACACAGGTCTGCACCATGGGCTGCAGGAGAACCTCTGCCTTAGCACCTGGAGCACTTCCTACTTCCTTCCCTGACCATGGTGTCTGCAGGGCTGTTCCTCTCACATCTTCTCACTCCCATCTCCAGCTGCAGTTACACAGGGGTTTTTTTTCTCCTCTTTTTATACATGATCCCAGAGGTGCTACCGCTGTCGCTGATCCACCTCTGTAGTCCAGCTGCTACCAAAACCTTGCCAGGCAAACCCAACACAGACAGGGACATAAAAGAATGTCTTTTGGCAATAATAACAGTATTTAATCAATTATCTTCTCTTTAGGTAACTGTAACTTACCCGTGATCCACTTAGACACAATCACCACAGCAGATTTCCTGGATGTGATCACCCACACCAAGCCATCAGCAAAGAATCTAAGCCAGAAGTACACTGCTTGGCAGAGAGAATTTGAGTCAGTTTAAAAAGGAAAGAAAACCCCAAAGACTGAAAACTTCCAAGACTTCTGCTACCCAAGTGCTGTTGTTTCCAGGGAAGAGAATGCAGAGACAAAAGTCAAGGGGAAATCTTTGCTTTCAAAAAGGGTGAACCTTTTTGAAACCTCCTTTTAAGGGTGGGACATGTGGTGTTGTTTATTTTTATTAGCTATTTTTAATTACCATTCCAGAAACATTCTTCATGGAATTAATGTAATGGCAGTTGCTATGTAATGAAGACTCCAGCCTTAATTTTATGTATAAAAACTTAAAAAATTGTTTCTCAGTCTTTATTCACAACAGTTGTTGACAGGTTTGGGGTAGGAAAAAAAAAGAGCAGAAATCTAAAAAGATTTAGGTACTAAAAGGTTAGATACAGAGAAGGCTCCTGAAGGGGACACCTTAGAGCAGCTCCAGCGCCTAACTGGGCTCCAGGAAACCTGGACAGGGGCTTTGGACAAGGGATGGAGGGACAGGACAAGGGCAATGGCTTTAACCTGCCAGAGGGGAGACTGAGATGAGATCTGATGCAGAAGCTCTTCCCTGGGAGGGTGCTGAGGCGCTGGCACAGGGTGCCCAGAGAAGCTGTGGCTGCCCCATCCCTGGCAGTGTTCAAGGCCAGGTTGGACACAGGGGCTTGGAGCCACCTGCTCTAGTGGAAGGTGTCCCTGCCCGTGGCAGGGGTTGGAGCTGGGTGAGCTTTAAGGTGTCTTCCAACCAAAACCAGGCTGAGTCTCTGTGATACTAGTGCAATTCTCCACTTCTGAGACTCACTAGAGCATCTCTGTAATGAAATGTGACTGCTTCCAATGAAATTCAGGACTTCAGCAGTGCCTTGTAAATTTGCTAAGTTTGTTACCATTTTCAGTTGAGATCAAAGCCTTGATGTGCCAAACGTGTTACTTTCCAGTTGGTTTGTCAGAAGTCTTTATGAGAAATGTGGTCACATGACTTTGTTTATGGATCTCTTGCTGCCCAAACCCAACTCCAACTACAGGCCACACACCTCCCTTCCATACTGCAAGCAGAAACCAACACAGATTCAAAACTGTGTTGAACACAGTTCTGCATGAACAGCATGAACACAGTATGTGTGGATTTACTCAAAACCGTAAGTTAATTTATGAAGGCACACAAATGGTGTCTAAAGATGTCTTACGTTTTTAGGTGGGAAGGTTTATTGTTTCTTGTGTTTCTACTGCAAAGTCTACTCCATCCATGTGTCCTGTCTCTGAGGGACATTAAATGTGAGCGTAGGTAACCACCCACCACGTGCAACTGCAGCAACACACTCTGTCACGTAAGGAAATTCATCCATCACGATGATTTTTCTTAACGAGAACGAGCATGGCTCATTAACACAAAACTGTATTTTTCAATAAGGTTAATACTCCAGTAATGTATAATTACAAATCTGATAATTTAACACTCGGGAGCACTGTAAAACAACTGTAAAGGACTTGGATTATTGCAGTTTGCAAATGGACCAGAAAAGCTATTTACCATCATTACAAACTTGGTTCGTACTGGGGGATTTGGGGCATAGGAGAAGCACTGCACACTGCAGAATTAAATTTCATTTTACTGCTAACCAACTGTGTAAAAACTGGAATCTGTTCCCATAGCTTGTGAGGGATTTTTACCATAATGTTAAAAAGAAACAAAAAAAAAAATCCCTCCAATAATAGTGACATTTTGCAACTGTAGCATCAATAGGACCCCACTGAAGTCTAATTTTAAAAAGTCACAGTCTCCAAGGCATTTAATGCCAGATTTTTGTTTCGGTATCATTCTTTTTAATAACACCACCTAATTAAAACATCTGTAAAATGCTGACAGTTTTTAACTTTATGTCAAATTTCCAAAATAAAAACCCCAGGATCCGCTCTTAATGAGAGCACAGATACCAACAGTAGTTATTATTAAACAATGGTGATATTTTAATTTTAAAGCCACTTTTAAACGGGCATAATCTCCACCTTTAAATCAGAGCAGAGCAGGGATATCCTCAGTGAAATCACTACAGGCTGACTGAGGCTCTGTTAGTCTTTGACGTTTATTTACATGAGTACTTCGGGGAGGGGGGGGGGCGGGTTGAGCAACAGAACCGTGACACTTTCCAGACAGGGATTTTCATCAGTTATTTCTTAAAACTGAAAATAAACAGAACTCCCTGCTGTGCCCCCCATGTCATTCAGGAGGCTGCAGCCTTCTGCAGGTGTCCACGTCCCTCATCACATCCTCCTGAAACTACTACAGGAAAGGGGCTTTGTGGATCTTCTGCCCTTTCACAGTGAGAGTGGAAGGAGCTCACAGCTAGTTTTCTGATGCAATGCATGCATTGATCCTGTGACAGTTTTGTGAATCAAGAGTAAAGGAAATTATATGAAACAGATGTTTCTTCAAACTAATTATTCCCTTTCTTGTAGCACACTCCCTTTTCTCATAGCAGGCGCTCCAGGATATGTTCCACTGCCTCTGGGAAATTCTCACAGGTTAAGTAAGGAGCTGGATTGATTTTGTCTTCATCTGCTGGTCGATATTTACCTGTAACAGATTAACAAAAAAATGCATTTACCAAGGTCCCTTGAGTATCCTTTTCTTCCCCTGAACATTACAGCCTTCTCAGATCAGTAACAGCCAGACACAG